GAAAAGTGCTTAAAAAGGAAAAAGCTTGTTTAGAATTTCAGTGTTATGGTTTGAATGGTGTCTTTATTTCATTTTTTAATGAAGGAAAAACCCCATCAACACATGCAAGGGGGAAGTTCAAGTGTTAATATCAACCACATAAACATTGTAGTTCCTCATTCAGGAACCATTTAATAACTGCTACTCTCAGCCTTTGGAAGTCTCTGCCATGAGACAGTGAAGCCAAAACTCATTAGGATTAAAAAAATAACACTGTTTATACAGCTACACTGAGAACATCCAGAGGCCAGGGAATGATTCTTGTCTGGCACATATGGAGCTACTTCGCTGTAGCTGGAGGGGTGAGGGAGGAGTTGTCCTTCCAGGACAATCTCAGCATCCTCCCCCAGAGCTGTTGGATGTCTCTGGAACTGGACTGGGATGGTGGCTGAGCTAGAGGGCCATCGGGTCCTGTTTCTTTGTAGTTGTTGCACTGTCAGACTGATGATGGCAGGCTGTGTGAAGCATGCCGAACAGGCACCACTGCTGTGCGCATCCGCCTTAGGTAGCATGTGATTTTCAGCCTCATCGCTGTTGGGTGTCTCTGCACGCTTCTGTTACAGGTCTTTTTATGCAAATGGTCCCTGGCTATTTTCCAAACCTAGTGCTGCCAATCCACCGGGAACTGTGGGATGTATGGGCAAACTGTAGGATAGGGCTGTTCTGCAAAGGAGAAACGGGAGCTGGACTGTGAAGGTGCAGCTTACCTTGTAGCACATGGGTGGCTGGGCACTCATTTTCATGCCAGCAAGGGATAAATGCCATAAGTCCAGTGCAGTACAGTGGAGAGGAGGTGTGGAGACAGCTACTAACAACACTATGTTATTCACGTAGTGCTGATACCTTGCAGGCTGGTATGAAGAGCAGATGCCTGCTCTGGAGAGTGTAGAGTTTAGGGAAAAATGCAGAAAATGGGAACTGACAGGCTGCGTACCAGTATTGGGTGTTTGTCACTCTGGCATTTCATACATGATGGCTGAGAAGCAGGTTAGTGATGAGCAGTAGGTTTATGGGCACCACGGGAGAAGTTTGGCCCTGCAGAAGGTGAACCTTTTCTTCTCTATCAGGAAGGGAAGCAATGAGAGAGTACTGGTGTACCTGATACAGCTGCATTTTCCTAAACTGGGAACAGAAGTTCTGTGGGAAGGAAAAGCCATAAATGATTGTTGCTCTAAAATGATACCTGGGAAAAGCAGCAGCCTCTTCATAAACATAACTGCCAATCTAAAACCCTGCAGGTCGGCTCAAATTCACATTTTGTACAAAATAACATTTTCTAGAAGGAAAGCAAATGCTGCAGACCCCAGAGCTTGCCCATCCACTAATGTCAGCTGCTCGTACGGACTGAGCAGAATATCAGAGTAAGAAATCAGAGTCCCAGTGAACCGGGGAATAGCCTGCTCTCCTCTCTAGCCAGCACTACTGCTACAGACCTCTCTAGTGCTGCCTTCAGGTATGGGTGGTTTTATACCAGTTGTCTCCTGCCATTTTCCAAAACCACCCTCAGTTACAGCAGGGCATGGTGAGACTGCAGTGGGACCACAGGGGTACCACTAAGGGCAATGGGAGAAGGCAGCAGGGACAACCCATCTGCCACTGGAGCCCTCAGAGGGGATAATGAATGAGTGCAACAGCTCCCACATGTATTCCCCAGAATAGCACTGAGTCGGGGGAAACCACTGCATCTGCCTGGTTTTCTTCTAGTTGAAGCACATCAGCAAGGCTCCTGTATGTCTCCCTGGGACAGGGCACCATGCGTGGCACAGCATGACAAGGCAGCGCACTCAGGAGATCCTTGCTCATTTTTGGAGCTGCTGTGTGACGGCAGGCATGTCAGCAGTGCTATTTCTGTGCCTGTCTTCCTGGTAGATGCACTGTCCAGGCTCTGCTCCCTTGTAGCTCCATCACCGCCTGTCCCTGAGAGCAGCCAGCAGAGTCAAAGGAAGCTGGAGAAGCTCTAACTGGTTTTAAAATGGGGCTTAACAGGTTTATGAACACAGCTGTATTCTCGCTCACACCAGGGCACTACAGGATGTCATGAATGAGTAGTTTAGGGACACTTAAAGAATCACCATCAAAGCTATTAGCAGAATTAGCTTTAATAAAAATTCGCTTTTATAAAAGCGAATTTAACACAGTTTGATGGCAAAAGTTCATTCTATTACTTACTACATGGATGAAACATACAAAGGAAAATCAAGTTAGAATTGATTTAGAATTATTTATACAGAGACTGAAGATGCAAAAGGGTAAAGGAGATGCTCCCATTGAGTCAGAGGGTTCAGAGTAGACCCCCTTGCTTTCTAAACCCCTGACAGAGCTTAGGTGTGACTAGGTCCAATCTTGGTCCCAGGCTTGGTCTGTAGGGTTGCATGTGTAATCCATTGGGATTGAAAGGACATCAGCAAAAGGTGGACTTACTGTGTTGTAAAAGGACCAGTCCCTCCCATATGGGATTTTTACAGGGCTTTTGACCCAGCAGCAGACTGCAGTTTTAAGGTGGATCACAATGTCTAGCAGCTGTCTAGGGATATTCGCAGTTTAAGGTGGAACACAAGATGGAGTAGCAGTCCATCCCTGACTGATTGGACATTTTAAAATTGAGCCAATAGGATGTGCTGCAGTCACAACAGGGACTTTCAGTAGAGATCCGAGATGATGACATTCATACTGTAACTGCTATAGGGTAGCTAAATCAACTTACACATACACACACAGAGACACAAAACTGTATCACTGAGGTGAGGATTGTTCCAAGGCTGCCAGGGGATGACTGATTATTCCTGCTGCCACTTCCCACCTTGGCCAGGCAATAGGAGTTCCTGATAGGGTCAAGGGACATTCCAACACCCAACTCATTACACAAAAGCCAAGGCCTGACGGGAATTCCCAACGTGCTAGAGTATCCCAGAGGAGGAGCGAATGCACACACAGGGTTGTAAAGCATCAACCAGTCCATGTAAAACCTTACAGCTATATTCTGTTTGGTCTGAGCAAACTAATTAAACTAAGTCCATGTGCTTATGGTAGCTGTTATCAATGTACTGCACAGGCAGAGGCGTTGTGTACAGTCACCATCCCCTCACATTAAATCCACTTTGTTACACTGAGCAGCCTGGGCCAGTGTTTTCCATCCTGGGAATCCATGTCAGCTCGCACTTTTTCACTTGTGCTGGTTAGGGGAGGCACAGGGCAAGGAAGAGAAACTTTGCCTCCAGACTGGAAAAGAAGCAGCAGCTTCCTGGAACTGCTTCTGGAAATCCATCAGTGCCCCCGTGTGTTGGAGTGGTGGCTGGAGTGGCAGGAGGAGAGCCAAGCCCTGTGCAGGGTGGGGGGAAATCAGGCTTATGGCTAGCCAAAAAGAGGCGTTTGTGACCCCTCAGCCCAAGGGTTGGGGCTCATTCAGAGAGGTGGTGTGAGGCCATGGCATCGCAGCAATGCTCCCCAGGATGCTCATATTCCTTGTGTGCGATGCCTTAAATACAGAGTCAGAGAGAGAGAAGAGAATATCCAGAAATGGCTCCAGGGCCACGGGGTGCAGCCGCTTGGCAGGGACATGGTGTTCAGCCGTGCTGTGTCTGGGTGCAGCCAGGCTGGAAGAGGGAGGCCAGCCGCAGAGGCTGCCCTATTTTCTGCATTCACCTCCAAAGCACTTCATTTCCCAAGTGACCGCAGCTGCCTAACACTGGGCTGGATTAGGCAAATCCTGTTCTGGCGTTCACTGGAGATGGGTTTTTAAAGCAGATTAATGCGAAACGGAGAAAGGTCCCTGTTGTTGCAGCTGCCTTCATCTCCTTTCAGCAGGCCCCTTGCTGCTACCCATCTTTTTGTCTTGTAGAAGCAGAGCTTAAATCAGCAATCCCCGCTGCGTGGTGCGGCACAGAAAAGGAACTGTTGTTGCAAACGCATTAATTCTGGCACATGGCATGGACCCTCCAGGATTCGATGTCCCTTGGCAGGAGCAGGGCACAGAGCTGCAAATCTGGGGTCCTGCACCCCGCTCTGACCTGGACATGGCTCACCCTGGCGCAGGAGGCAGTGGTGTGGGTGACAGGGGCTGCTGTGTGCGCGGGGTGATCCTCAGCGTGCCAGGGCAGCATGTGGGGCCTGCTCCTGTGAGACCGTGCTTGGCCTGGGTGATGCTTCTGAGATATGGCCAGGGGGCTGGCGAGGCTGCAGCACTTCAGTCTAATTCTGTTCTAATCTACTCTGCTGTTCTGGTCTAGTGTAGTTTAGTTCATTCTGGCCTGGGCTGGCCGAGCCTAGCCGAGCTGAGCCTAGCTGATCTGAGCCTAGCTGATCCGAGCTTAGCCTAGGCTAGCTGATCCGATCCTAGCTGAGCTGAACCTAGCCTAGCCGAGCCGAGCCTAGCCAATCTGAGCCGAGCCTAGCCAATCTGAGCCAAGCCTAGGCTAGCCGATTTGATCCTGGCCAATCCGATCCGATCCTAGCTGATCCAATCCAATCCTAGCTGATCCAATCCAATCCTAGCCAAGCCGAGCCTAGCCTAGCCAATCCTATCCGATCAGAGCCTAGCCGAGCCCAGCCTAGCCATGCCAAGCCGAGCCAAGCCAAGCCTAGCCGAGCCCAGCCAAGCCGAGCCAAGCCGAGCCGAGCCGAGCCTAGCCGAGCTGAGCCTAGCCGAGCCGATCCGAGCCTCGCCAATCTGAGCCTCGCCTAGGCTAGCCGATTCGATCCTGGCCAATCCGATCCTAGCTGATCCAATCCAATCCTAGCCAAGCCGAGCCTAGCCTAGCCAATCCGATCCGATCAGAGCCGAGCCGAGCCGAGCCGAGCCGAGCCGAGCCGAGCCGAGCCTCACGTGACGCGCAGGGCGGTGCTGGTTGGGGAGGGGGCTGCGCGCCGCGATTGGCTCTGGGCGGGCGGGGCGGGGTCTGGCGCCGCTGTTTGGATTTAAACGTTGCAGCGGGAGGGGGCGGGTTCTGTCGCTCCCGTTTCCCCGTTCGCGGCTCCGCCATGGTGGTGCCGGCGCGGCGCGTGAAGACCGAGTACATGAAGCGCTTCAAGGAGCCCAAGTGGGAGTCGTGCGGCGCCTGCTACCTGGAGCTGCTGCGCTACCGCCTCAGCCGCCGCCTCCTGGAGCAGGCGCACCGGCCCTGGCTGTGGGACGGCTGGGAGGACGACAGTGGCAGCGGCGGCGGCAGCAGCACTGCCGGATCCCCCTCGCCGCCGGCCGCCAGCAGCCCCGCGGCCGCGCAGGAGGAGGAGGCGGCGGCGGCACCTGCAGCACCACCGGCACCGAGTGAGGCGGGACGGGCCAGCCCCGTTCGGGAGCGGGGTAATGGCGGTGAGTGTTTGGGGAGGGGTGTCTGTGTGTCGCGGGGCAGCGCTGCCCGCCGTCCCCGGAGCCAGGCGGGTCCTGCCCGGCCTGAGCGGGGCACGGCAAAGATGGCTCCGGCAGCCCTGCCGCGGCGGGGGGGGGTGCTCCCCCATCCCGGAGAGACCCCGCTGTCCCCAGCTGGCCCGGGGATGTCCGCAGGGCCGGGTCTGGGGGAGAACGGTGGGGCGGCAGGGCCAGCGCAGCGCGGGTTGTGTCATACAGCGGGGGGTACAGGTTGGTGCTCTCCAAATGAGGTGTGGGGGAAGCCGGGCAGGGCTCGGGGGCACGTCGGGGCAGCACCGGTGGCTGTTCCGACGGAAGGGAATGCTGTTAATGGGCTCCTTGCTCTAGGCCTGCGGAGAAGCCGTAGCTGCGGCATCGGAGGTGTTTCTTTAAAGAGCCAAGCGGTGCTAACTCTCACCCTGAGTCACAGCCACTGATGTAAACTGTTGCCATGGGAGCGCAGCATCTCTGCAATTATATAAGCTGTTTCTCTGGCAAAAGCAGCGGCAAGTTGGACTGTTTGCCAGTGGCAGGCACTTAGCTCGGTTGCTTTCCTGGATGTGCACACGTAGTTTGCCTCAGCTGAACACTTGGTTCTCTGTTCTAACTGAGGTTTGGCCTTGGGTTTGCAGCTCGGTGCAGACAACTGTGTAGGCCTGAGCAGCTGTAGAGCTGGTGGTGTCTTGCTCTCTTCTTGCATATCTTACCTTTTGGTATCTCGAGAATTAACTATGCAGAGCGGTTAGACAGGTAATGACACTGTCAAGCTTCCTCGGTTGGTGCGGTTTTTATCCTGTAGCATATTGTCTCTTACCTATAATGAAAGAAAGCATCATCTGGCAGCCATTGATTGGTCTTTGGAATGCCTTTTGAATCCTCTATGTATCTATTGTACTGTAGGAAGGGAAGTCCTTGAGAATTGTTCAGTTAAGCCTCACGTGGCCTGGATGGTTTTTCTGGTTGGATGTGGTTGTTTGGAGTGGGGTGATTAATCTGTTTCAGTATCCCTTGGGGCCTGAGTTTATGAGAATAATCTATATTCTGACACTCAAGACTAAACTGTGCTCGTAGTCCTTAAGGATACCATGTTATACAAAAGCTTAGCTTTGCTGAAGTCCTCTATTGAAGAGACCTGGTGTCTCAGGGCATGCTGTGGGGTTTTGCAGTGAGCTGCCCTCCTCATGGCTGGGTGTTTCTGTGGTGCCAGCCCCATGTTGGGGTGCACACATCTGCTGGCTGCCAGGGCACCTGCAGGTCTGGCTGCAGTTACTTGTCGCCTGGCTCTGGCTGGGCTGGTTTTGGCAGTGAGTGAAAGCTTGATAGCTGTGGATATGCTGCTTGTGCAGGCACTTTGTCATCAGTGATGTTGTGTGCCACTATCCAGTGCACCCACCTCTGTATCCTCATTACAGTATCAGTTGCCAAGGGACTGTAGCATATTAAGCTATGGGATTTTGGATGGTTGTGGCTTTGTAGCTGATGTACATTTGCCATGCTGCTAGAAGGGAATGCCTAATGTTCTATTAGGTCCTTGCTATTTTACACTTACAATGGGAGAGAAATCTGTGCCTAACATTTATTTCTTTGCTAGGTGGCTTAGGGTAAACACTTATTTTTTTTAAGCTCTCCAAGTATTCAAGGGATTTACTAAGTCCTTAGCAAAAGGACCAAAAGCAACTCTGCTTAGCCATCAGGATTTAGTGGGAATTTATTGTATATTAGCGTATATGCTAATGTATAGGCGAGTGATTTGATATTGAACAATTGTAAGGATGTTTCCTTTGCATAGTGGCTGGCTAATTAAAACCTGTGGAGGAGATAACATGGAGACTGCCACTCTGCATCTTCTATTATTCAACTGCCTTTTCTTTTCTTTTCTTTTCTGGAGGAACTTAATTATACCCAAGTGCTGTGGGGGTAGCTGAGTGTGCTCATGTTGATGACATCTTTTGTCTTCTGAATCTGAGATCCACCCACATGCTGCAGCATTCTGGTTGTTACCTGGCTACTGCTGCTTCCCTCTGTTCTGTGGGGAACCTGATTTCTGGCTGAGTAGTACTGATAATGCTTGTGGACAAGAGTATTTGGCCAGCACTCATGTTTCCTAGTATGTGTGGTAAAGCCAGTTTGTAATGGTGTGTGCCCATGGTTGCTTTTCCCTTATGAAGATGAGCCTGTGAGTGTTTGTAAAGCAGGTTGTAAGTGTAGAGAAAAGTGATGCATACAGCATGCCTTTAAGGTTTAGTGGTGTTGGTCTAAAGTACAACCAGTATGAACATCTGAGATACTACATAGGACAAACGCATTTTGCCATGGTGCTTGTGTGTAAGCTATAACTGAGTGATCCTAAGGTGTGCTTGGTAGCAAATTTAGGTTAATTGCTTCCAGCTCTTCACTTGCAGCAATAGTTCTGTAGAACATGCCCAGGCACAGATGTGCTTTAAACACAATCCAGCAAAATCTTGACCTAAATCAACTGGTCTAGTTGACACATCCTCAAAACTGTCAACACAGCTCAGTGGGCCTGTAAGTGAAAGGCAGGAGCTCTTGGCAGCTGTGCTGCTGTCAGACCTGTTGCTTGTGAAATGATGCCACTGCACACGCATGCTGGATGAAGGCATCTTTCAGCCTTATTGTCATTTGCCTTCACCACGTTTGTGCAGTGGTCTTAAATGGCAATAGTGACAAAGGGCTGTCAAAGCAGTTGCCACACAGTAGCTGGAAAGTGACTGATCTGTATTAGTGCAACTCTACAGAATATCCAGTTTCAAACTTGTTTCCTGATCTTGCCTGCCATTGTGTTGCAGGTGCATTTGCTGGCCCAAGAACATGGGGAGGAGTAGTGACAATAGTGTCAGCTTAGGGATTTATAGTACTGTGATTCAAAGTTGCTCTAATTTTTTTGGTTGGAAACAAGCTTGGCTATGAAGCCAAGCCAGTCATTATTTTCCAAACTCTGTGGTAGATAAAGCTTGTGTGAACTTAATTGGCTTTGAGCTGCTGTGTTGCTGGTAGCTCCAGTACTGCTTCATATAAGATTTCTTGAAACAATGATGTTGAGTTCTTCCAGCTGTACTAACTACAATTCTAACTACTAAATGGAATTCAATGATGTTGAATTCCATCCAGCTGTAGTCTGTTCATACCCACAACTGAGTATATGTATGCCCTCTTCAAGAGGCCTTAGAAACCTGCTGTATTTGGAGAAAGGTGGTGTACTAAAGCTGGAAGCTCTGAGTTCTGCCTGTGGCAGTTTAAGCACAAAGCGCTTATCCTAAGCATGATGAGCAAACTTCTCTACTGAAGTAATACTGAAATCATAGAGTCATAGAGCCATAGAATATAATAAAATATATAAAAAACATTGCTTCAATAGAGATTAGACCTGTGGGTCTAACCAGAAGGTTGTTGATACTTCTAGTGAGTCAGCGGGGCCTTTGAAATGGGAATCCTGCCTGCCCCATAGGGCAGGCAGTACTGTGGGAGGGAGGAAGTTCCACTGGAGCTTTTCCTGCTTTAGCCCTGGAAGGGAGCTCCTGTGTGAACCGGGCAATGCAGTGGGGTTTAAATGGCCCCTTCTGGGCAGGAGCTTTCAACAGGCATATTGGGTGGGCCTGGCAGCCTTGTTCTGCCTGCTAAGCACTTAATCCCCTCCTGTCCAGCATGCTATGCTTAGCATCCATGATGTAGTTTTAAATGTTCCTAGCTTTTTCCCACTCCCGTCTAATCCCTGTAATGCTGCTGCCAATCAGTTCTGAGTTTCCTGTGCCTGCTGGAGCTAGCACACTGCATGGGAAGGAGGACATGGGTAAGTGTTGCTGGTGTTTAGACTCCCTGAGCAGCTGGGTCTAACTCCTTTCTTGCTATCAGCTGCTGCTTTTCTACCTTCCTGAGAAGAGGGGTGCCTAACAAAATGGCCTGGATATAAACTATAGTTTTAAATAAAAGGCTTAACTGTTACAGATACCTGCCTTGTGCCTTCACCGAGTTCTGTATAAATGTGGGAGTGAATTAACTGAAATACCTGCTCTAATAGCAGCTGCTCATAAGATGCTATAGTGTGCTCTGGCATACAGCATTTACTGTGAAACTGTGCACAGGACTCTGCATGCCATTTATCCATATGCTTTTATTGCTATTTTGGGACAAGCAGGCTCAGTCATTTCTGTACCAGCTGGAACTATATATGCTAGTGAACAGCATCCCCCAGGCATGGCTGTTGCCTTGAAATAGTATCTTAAACCCGGAGTTTCCATGCAATTGCCAAGTCCCCACTTCTCTGTATCTTTTAAGTCTCTAAATGCCACCTCTGCTTCTCATGAACTCCGTGTTGCTCCATCCTTCTTTGCAGAGAAGGAAGATGCCGTTTTTCTCTTGAACAGAGGATGGAACAGCTTCCCAAAATAAAAGTACTCCTGTTTCAGAATTGGCAGCAGTATGTCCCCCTGTAGTGCTTTCTCAGAACAGTGTTTCCTTCTGATAATGGACCTAGCAGTCCCTTTATTAGGAGTGGGCAGGGGAGAGAGCTGTGTGGATATTTTGTAAAGGGATAGGCCTGTGCTGCCTGTAATGAATGTGAGCTGCCTTGCTAGAGGTGAAGCTGTGTGTCCCAGAGCTCAGGGCATACTATGCAGAGGAAGGCTTTTACCACACTGAGGTCACTGCTGCTTACTTTTCATCCAGCCGTGGCTATAATGACTGAAACTATGTGCTCCCAATACTGGGATACATGAAATTCTTCTGGCTGTTTTTTGTTCTCACTCTGTCACTCCTATGGCCTTGACTACTGTCCTTTGTTGTGGGGACAGTTAAGTGATTTCTTAACATAGAGCTCTACACACTCACATTGCTTGCTCTCTCACCCAAATACTCAGATGCACTGCAGTATCATCTGTTGTGGAATGCCACACCTGCACAGCTTGGAAGACCTGTGTATATAGGCTAGCCTTAACAGGGCCCAGCACCAGGGCCCCTGTGCTGGCTGGTAGCAAGTGGAATATGTATTGGCAAGACTTAGGGCTAGTGAGAAGGAATCTGAGGCTTGCCTTATGGGCATGCTGGGGCATGTGGCAAATCTTCATGTTTTTACCCTACAAGCATGAAAAGCAGTGTCCCATTGGGCACATACTTGCTTGACTATCTAAATCATAGCAATTGGCAAGAATGATTGCTATTTTGTCACAGTATTGGCAGGACCTTCTGCTTTCAGTGAAGACCCTTAGGTAAAGCTTGTACTAGTGGCTTGTGATCAACCTCTCAGTATGTAAGCAAGCCTTAGATGAACTCCTGTCAGTGGAGAAATTCCCTCTGTATGTACCAGTGTATCCTGGTGGTGGCTGAATGTGCTGAGACTTGGAACAGAGGTATCTTGCAGCTGGTCCCAGCACAACCAGAAATAGATGATATGGTGGAAGACTTCCAAATTCAGCATGTTTGTCAGCAGTTTCAATGTGTCACTGTGTGTGTCTAGCAGAAGGCAGCATTTAATGCACAAAGGTGGACACCTGAAAGGACACCCTTACTAGTGGACTGCTATGCTGTTAGGGTAGTAACATCACTGGCCTAAAAGTCACAGACTTCAGATCAATGTCTGCTGCTGCCCACAATGCTTAGGGGTCATGCTCAATGTCTACCATACACGCCCAGCTTGTCAACACTACTGTTGATGATTAGCAGGATGGAGAACTAAACCAGGGTTCTGTGTGTTTTTTCCACAGTTGTATTTCCCAGCATGCTGTAAGTACTATATTGATTAAAATTACAGAATCAAATCATTTAGGTTGGAAAAGATCTTTAAGATCAAGTCCAACCATTAGCCTGGCACTGCCAAGTCCACCGTTAAACAACATCTTTAAGTGCCACATCTACACATTTTTAATAGCTCCAGGGATGATGACCCCATCACTTCCCTGGGCAGCCTGTTCCCTTTCCTTGATAATCCTTTTGGTGAAGAAGTTTTTCCTAATATTCAACCTAAACTGCCCCTGGGGCAACTTAGGGCCATTTCCTCTTGTCCTATCACTTCTTACTTGAGAGAAGAGACTGACCCTCACCTCACACAACCTCCTTTCAGGTAGTTCTAGAGACTGGTAAAGTCTCTCCTGAACCTCCTTATCTTCAGACTAAACACCCCCAGTTCCCTCGGCTGTTCCTTATCAGACTTGTGCTCTGGACCCTTCACCAGCTTTGTTGCCCATTTCTGGACCAGCTTTAGCACCTCAACATCTGTCTTGTAGTGAGGGGCCCAGTACAGGGGGAGGATCACATCACTGGCCCTGCTGCCACACTACTGCTGATACAAGCCAGGATGCCCTTGGCCACCTGGGGGGACAAGCTGCTCATGTTCAGCTGGCTGTTGACCAGCACCCCAGGTCCTTTTTCTCTATACAGCTTTCCAGCTACTCTTCCCTGAGCCTGTGATGTTGCATGGGGCTGTTGTGACCCAAGTGCAGGACATGGCACCGAGCCTTGTTGAACCTCATACCACTGGCCACAGCCCATCAATCCAGCCTGTTGAGATCCCCCTGTAGAGTCTTCCTATCCTCCAGCTGATCAACACTCCCACCCAACTTGGTGTCATCTGCAAACTTACTGAGGGTGCACTCCACCCCTCATCCAGCTCATTAAGATAAATAGTTTGGATTAGTAGTAAGAGAATAGTTTATGACTTCTTGTTACCAGTTTGTAGACCTTACACATCTCAATGGTGGTAAAATCTTTGATCATCCTCTTCCAGTCAACTTTTATCCGTGGGTGTTCACTTGATTATATTTACTTATGTCATAAACCGGACTTGTTCAAAGCAACTTTATTGTAAGGCATGACTTTCTTACCAGCCTCTCAGATTTATGAACTATTGCAGGGCTATACCAAATACTGGCTTCCTTGATCTTAAGTCTAAGACACAGATTTTTGTATGTAAGTAGTAGTATGCAGGAAGTGTCAAGAATTGCTGGCTGCGAGGAACCACAAACAGGAAAACTAGTTCCTCCGTAGTTCTAGCTCTACAATGCAAGAAGATTGGATCTTGTTTCCCTGTGTTTTTATTAATGTCTTGTATAATCTTAATTCAGCCTCTAATGTTAGTCTATGTGCAAAGCTGAGACAATGATACAGACTTCAAATTTTTCATCACAAACTCTGCTTACCCAATGCCTGGAGGACAAATGCTGGACCCTTGTTATGGGAAGTTTAAAAAGCATGTGTGTGGGGAAATTAGCCTTGGGGAGCATTGCCTGTGGAGTGTGGTACTTTAAATGTAAAACACACATCACAGAACAGATAGCATGGGTGATGTCTTCCACTTTGTAAGTCTTTGCTTCATACTCCCCTCTCCTCCATAAGCAGAAAACCACCATCAAGATGTAGGTATAATTAGGGTACTTGAAAACAAATCACTTTTTTTCTTTCAGTGGAAGCTTATAATAGAGGGAGTTAATATTGCACATGTTCTTATCAGGCTTCATCTCTGGCTGGCTGGCACCATCTCCATGGCATTCAGCAGTCCGTATGTTTGCTGTCTGAAAGATGGTGGAAGGATGAGGTAGTGAAGACTGAAGATCACTGGAAACAGTTTTGAAATGCTGCCTGGAGCTGTTGGTAATCTGTGGCCTTGCTAGTGAAAGGCATGTTTGAATATGTGAAAGCTGATGTACAGAGGGATGGGCTTAGAAATATTGTAGTCACTAAAGAAAGGGTGAAGGCATTTAAGCAAGGTATATATCTGTTGCTGGAAGTAATGACTTCAGTTCTAAACACAGCAGTTTCGGTGATGTATTGAGAGGCTGTGCAAGTCATACCTTAATATATTGTTGTTGGGAGCTTAAAGCATAAACTTTTTGTTTCTTTAGAGAAAGAAAGAGAAGAAAAGCAGAAGGAAGAGCAAGAAAAAACTGTAGAACACCCTTCTGTAAAGGAAGCAGACAAAACCAGCCGTCCAGGACGACGTCCAAGTCAAAGTGCCTTGTCCAGTCGGAATGATCGAAGATCAGCCAAAAGCCCTCAAAAGACAGATGCACCAAAGGAGAATAAACATCCATTTGCTCTGTATGGGTGGGGAGAAAGACAGACAGATACTGGAAGCCAGAAAACTCACAATGTTTGTGCTTCTGCTTCAGCAAATGAAGTAAGTGAAAGCTTCTGTTTTGTTACTTAGTGCCTGGGTAAGACACATGTCTAATACTGAGATAAAACTTCCCAGGGATGCCTCTGAGTGCCTGGAAATTCTAGCAGTAAATTATAAATAAATTAAATTAAAAACTATAACAATGAACCTGAACAGGTTCAACATGTCTGAATCAGGCAGCTCTTAACTGTTAATTTGGTTTTGAAACTTCCCATGTTTGACTAATACTTGCAAGTTCTGATTAAATCTTGGCTATCTTGTTTCTGGCTGTTACAGTGTTACCAGCAAAACTGGCTGTTATAAATGTATTTCTGCATTCTGAACTTCAGGAAAACACGAGAAAAGCAGCAGCAGCAGGCAGTTAGCACCAGGCATCCCACAGCAGGCAGGTATATACACACTGGGGTAGAACATGTGCTGTGAAAGAGTGACTTGTGCTGGGGCACTTATGAGGAATAGGCGCCTCACTGAGAAGGAACAAATGCTTTGCTGCTGAGATGTCTGCCTAGAAGCTTGCTTCAGCAGGTTGCTAACTTCTTGCTGACAGAAGAATGGTCTATGAGATGGCTGATGGATTGCAGGGTTGATGTATTAGCAAAATAGCACAGATAAAATTCATATGGTCATGGACAGCACCAGGATTCTGCTATGGTAGGGTACGTTTCCTGGCTTCGCAAGAAACACTGAAGTTGGAGTGTTGCAGCAGGTCCATTTCTTTCTTTTCTGTAGTTCTAGTCTGGCAAAACATAGCCATTACTGTATCCCTGCCAGCATCTTGTCTTTCTCATTAATGTAGAGTCTGAACCTATGACCTGAGATATCTGATGATGAAGGTGGATGGTGTTCTTGATCTATGAGATAGAGCTGAGTTCTGATGGACTGTTTTGGAAGGGGCTTGAAGCTTAAGTCTTTTCCTTTCTGGACACTTCTGATGCATTTCTAGTTATGTAATGTTTTATTGCTAAGATGCTTCTTTAAGTGGAAAGTGAGTACTTACTGCCTCAGCTAGGTCCCCTTTCTTTAATGTTTGAAAGTTTTCACATTCTCCTAATTGAGATGGGATGTAGTTTTAAATCTGGAGATGGAAGCAAGCAAGCATAGAAGCTGGCTCTTAAATTTGGAGGAAATATGATTCATATAAGCATGCATGTAGTGTGCCTGCAGCACGTTGTCAAAATTATGTACTTCAGTGTCTTGGGATTGGTTTTACTATTTAACTTAGGTTTTAAGGGATGCTTTGGGTATATTGAGGAATGTTTAAGAAATTAAAATGGTAGAAATGGGAAACTTGAGGTTTTTATAATATGCAAGAGTAAGACTGAGAAACATTCAAGATGGAAAGATAATGCAGAACAGAACTGGAGGTATTTTTAATAAAATTCTATACTCCTGTTAGGTACAAATTACAGAAGAAAACATACTCTTGCTAGCAACCCCTGTTAATTCAGGATGGCAACTGGGACAAAGTCATCTTCCCTGGGGGTGTTCTGAGGTTGTTTTCCTGCTGTAATACTAACTCTGGTCTTCTAGATTCATGAATCTGCTCTCCGAGCAAAGAACAGGAGGCAAGTGGAGAAAAGGAAGCTCTCTCAGAGGCGGGTACGATCAGCAGAAGCAGAGAAAGCCTGGCGAATAAAGCCCGCCCCTCCAGATAACCCTTGGATGACAGAGTACATGAGATGCTACTCAGCAAGAGCTCTGTGAATCTGGATTCACTTAGGCATCTTCAAAAGAAGTTATGCATATCAGGACACTGGTGCAAGGAACCAAACTACTTATGCAAGGTTTTTATAGGGAGTTTCCAGCTGTTAAAGTATTTGCTATGATGTTTTTATCTTGGCTACCTACCTCACAGTGGGGTGCATTGTTGGAGCCATAATATTTGAAGAGGCTTTTAGATAGAGCTACCCAAACTTTTAACCAATTCCCCTTTTGGGGAATTTTTCTGATGCTTCAGTTGACTCGTTTTTTGGGGTGGAAGGGGAGCTTCAGCATACAGGGAGTCAAACACTCTTTTGAGCTTGGTTACAAATAACCTATTGTCCCTTATTTTTAAAAGTTCAAGTTGCAGGGAAGTGGTGCTGGGGAAAGACTTGAAAGGTGTGATGGAGGTGCCTTTGCATTTATAGTACTATTTGATTTAATACTTCTACCAAAATAAGCATATTAAGACAGGTAACAGGAAAGCCAGTGGGTCTGGTAAAAAGCACTAATAAATGTCCATGCTTTAGGCAGGCAAATACTAAGTATTGTCTGTACACAGAAACTTTCAGAAAAACCTTGTTTGATTAGTGGATCTGCTGACTCTTACTGCTGTTTCTAAGGTCATTAGAATAAACTACTAATTTTCAGGGTAAGAAACAGCTACAGGATTGTTCTGCTGTTGCTGTGCCTGTTGTACCAAATAATGGATGTAGACAATCATGATCTGCTAGCTGCTGCTCAATAAGCAGTTGCTTGTTCTACCAGTATGAAGTTGTACCACTGTATAAGCTCATGGTTACACTTACTCTGTGCTTAATTATGTAAATGTGTTTATTGAAGGAGAGGGCTGGCTCCTGTCTAGTGAAGTCTATTTTTAACACTTAGAGTACCTATTATGCTCAGTGGGGACCAGAGTGCAATATGCATTCCATTTGGTGGCATTGTACAAGTATACTGTTAGAGGTTTTAAACTTGAGGATTGCGTGGATAAGGCTTGCAGATGAAGTCCTGAGTGGCTTTCTGCCTCTCAAAATTGGTGTGGAAGCCCTTGCTATAGGGGTGAGAGGAAGGAACATACAGTGGACTTTGAACACTCACGTTATAGGTCCTACTTCTACATAGCAAGTCATTGTTTGTGATATCCTCAGTGGGCGCTTTTCCCCTCAAGCTGCTGTAAGTTATTTTGTTTTCAGTTGGATAACTAAGCTTTAGGCAGATGATTGCTGTAGTTGTGAGCTTGAAGTTTTGTTCAGATGTGTTGTGTGTTAGTCACATGTGTTGGTTACCTCAGTTTAATCGTCTTGCAGCTTGTGTTTTGCAGACTGAACACCTTCTCACAGGAAGCACACTTGCACTTGTGTAGCAGATGCCTGCGCTAGTCTTAGCTTCATTCCACAATCTGTGAGTAAGCAGGACTCCTGAACTACTACTGCAGCACATAGCTACATTCTTAGTGTAAAGTTTCATTTTAAGTGTTATCAAAAGAAAGTAATCACACAAAGGGACTAAGCACTGCTGCCTCCTAGTGTTAATGGCATTCCATCAGTACAGGTTTCATTACTCCCAGTTTTAATCTTATTAAAGTCCTAGAATCAATGAAATTATAACCTGAGTTTTACTTGCCTTTTAAGCATAAAGTTATAAAAATACAGACAACTCTTGTTCAAATCTACCTGATCTTATGGCTTTTAAGTCTGGGATTGCAAAGTATGATTAAGTATGTTTTATACGTAGCAAAAAGTACTGTATTCCAACTCTTAAGTAAACCACAGGCTAAAACTTCCTAAAACTGCCGGACAGTGAGCAAAACTGAGGCAGACTATTCCAGAATATGTCTTGAGATTCCTTTATTTTCCTTTTATGCGTTGTTTTCCTCTTTAAATAGCTGCTCTAAATATGCTTAAGTTGCTTCTACTGATGTCTCAATTCAGAAATGCACCCTAACTTTGAGTAATGGTATGAAAGCATTTACTCAGTGGTGTTTAACAGCCTATCTGTTCCAGCTGCCCACAGGCTTTGCAGGCTCTGTGTAACAGTAGAAGGACTGTGCCCCTGGTGCATTCTGTCACATTAAACAGCTTCCTTGACTGTGTGGGGCAGGGCTCATCTTGCCATGCTTTCAAAGACAGCTTCTGTGGTTCTCTCTTCCCACTGACAATGAAGGAACTGAGATAACTATGTGCCTGCTTCAAGTACCCATTTTTGGATAAGATGGACCTCCCATCAGATGCTGGTCTTTCCAGTAATTATAGAAGGTTTAAATGTCTTCTGCCTTGGATACCAGGTACCAAACTTAAAACATGTAAAAACAGGCTTGTTCAGGGTGTTCTACAGGGTGTAAGAATCTTCACCAGCACCAAGGCTGCTGTGTACTGAGGATCTAGTTCTTATCCTTGTTAGGTCAAGAACTGTCCCCATCAAAACCATCTGCTAGAAGACAGTAGTGACATTAATCAGGTCAAGTGAGTCCCAGTCATGCTTTTTCAAATGATTTGTAGCTAAAACCGATTCTGGGTGCTATGTTGGTACTGTCGTGGTTTACAGAATGTAATGCCTGAAGTGAGGGATAAATCATTCTATAATTCAGGTAGCCTTCCTGTATTTGGGTGTTATTTGGCTTTAAAAGGCTAGTAGGTTTGCTTAGACAATGTGAAATGGTTTAGTTCTGATGCTGCAGAGTTGTACATGCAAAATATTTGGCATGTCCCAGGCTGAAGTCTGAAAAACTGTTATTTTAATGTTTTGACATTAAGAAATGACAAGCCAATCGACTTGGAAAGCAGAACTCTTCAAGTGCAAAAGCTTTAACTATATTGCATAGATTCTGATAGGAGATGACTGTTTTGCATCAAGTTGGACTCACTAAAAATGGAAAACCTAGTAAATGTCACCCAATCAAGTAAGGAAGTTCTGAACTTTGTCTTGCATGGACTCTTGAATTCAGCCAAGTAATGAAAATTTCTCGCTCCTGTTGTAGAACTGTTTGTAAGAACACAGCAAATACTCAGTTGTCCCAAGTCTTCATTAAAATAACTGCTTATTCCTTTTTATTTCTGAAAGTACTTAGCTAAGTGAAACAAGACTTTTACAATGTGTAATGCTGAAATTTAACTGTAGTGTTGTGACAACTAGTGTTTACAATGTGAAATGTTACAATGAAAACTGAGTAAGAATGTCCCTGTGAGCTTAAAGTAGCATGCCTGTTCAGTCACTGCTGTCACATCTTTGCAACTATAGACTACTGACTTTTTCCACTGGAAACTGAGATAGTCCAGGTGATAGCTAACTTACAGCCAAACTTAACAAAACTGAAATATGAATTTCTGGTAAGAATTTTATCCAGGTGGCCAATGCACATTTTAATTAATTTTTTAATATGTATGGAAGTGTATCTAGCTTTGGCTTTTTTTTTTTATGGTATAATGCAGTGCCACTGAATGATAAAGGCCTCTCTTTGTTTTTCTTACTGTGATAAGGACCAAATGCTAGCAATCTGAGGGCCTTATGTGTGGTAAACCTGCCAGTTTAGTTTCTAGCTCAGTTAGTACACTCAGCAGCAAAGCCATATATGGAGCCTGACTCAACACCTTGACAGCAGCCCCTATAAATCAGGGGTCCAAGTGAGTGGGAAGCTGCCTCAGCTCTTGTTAGCACTGAATTCACTTTAAAAACAATAGGAAAATACCATCTAAGCTTGAAGCAATATGTGTTTTTTAAAGTAAGTTTTTAAACAGTATTTGTTTTTAATGCTTCTGTATTGTCTATATTTAATAGTGTAGTGTCAACTTGTATATGTGAATAAAATGAGTGACACGAAGTGCCTTGGCTGCTTGTAGTGGGTGTTTGGGGGGCTCTTGGGTTTTCCTTTGCATGCTGCTTTAGAGTCTGCATGCAAAATTGGTGGAGGGTTAGATTACAAGTCCAGAGCTGAGCTTTTCTGTTCCTCCTGGAACCTTTAAACAGATTCTTAATAACCCTTCCCTCCTGACTCTCTTTTTCTACTACTAACAAGGGCCTAAATGTAGTAGCTGTTTGGATTGCTATGCATGCTGAAACCTTTGGGAACCTTTATTTAGAACTTGGGAAGAAGAGGGTAATATGGGGGAAGAAACTAGGAAGCTGCATCACTAAGAACAAGTATAATCTTGCAAATAAGAAAAGTCAAGCTATTAAAGGATGGCTGTGCTGAAGTTCTACATGCTGCTGGTTCTATAGTAAAAATAGAGATCTTACGCTTTCATTCTCTGTGGATGTACAAGGGATGTATTCCTTTATTATGGTGTTAAGTCTTTCAGCATACACAGTGTAATGCAAATGAGCTGCACAGAGTAATCAAGCTCCTTTTTATAGCATTCATTCTTTAAGGACTTAGGAGAGCTGTGTAGTCTTGGGCTATGAGGTACCTCACTGAATACAAAGAACAGAATAGATCAACTGTGTATTCAATCTGAGATGCCTAAAGTGGGAAAACATCTTCCCTTTGCTTTAGCTTCAAAAAAGCATTAGCTGCTGAAGCCATATTATCCAAGTGACTTAGATCTATCTCATCCCTAGTCATTAGTGCAAAAAGACACAAGGAAGCCAAGTGCAGCATTGCAGGGTTGGGGCCCTCCTGTGCTGGTGGCAAAGCAGGCCCTGCTCCCAAGAAATACACTTCCAGCTGCTTCCCCACCCATGTACTGACTACACAATGAACTCATCAGAAGTCTTTTTTTTTTTAAGACTACCTAAGGTTTGTCATGTTCTGGACTTCACTTGGTAGGAAAAGCTTGTACAAGTAAATAGGATTTGCTCTAAAACACCTAGAAAACCAAGAAAGATTCTTTATTTGGGACTAGATACAGGCATTAAATGAAATAGTGTAGGCCAACAGACTCATTAAAAGGCAAGACACAGGCTTTAATAAGACATTTAAATCCTTTAAAGGTCTAAATAGCTAAGGCTCCACATCCAATAGATTCCCAGGAAACAGGTACCAAGTATTATTTCATGTAAAACTCCAAGCCATCTTGCTTTGGTAAAGTAAGAATTTTACATTAAAACCATACATAATTGAATATATTTCTCCCTTACTATTATTAGGTGAGCTACGTTTGGTTTGCAAACTATAATGCTAGAGCTTAAAAATCTACTCCAGGGCTGTTACTGACATGATGTTTGAAACAGTAAACAGTATAGCTTGCACTGGTGAGAGCTATTACTGCTATCAGGATTTCCCATTTTAGGAAGTTTCTTTTCAAAATGTTAGTGACAGGCACAGCATAAAAAGTTGTGCTACTACAAAACAGGCACATTAACCTGGTTAATGTGTATATAGTAAGAGTATACATTAAAAAAAAAAGGTAAAAACATGTCAAAACTCATTATAATGACACTATTCTTGCCTTCCATGTAGGAAGGGGACAGCTTAAGACAGTTGGTTTAAGAAAGAATAGAACTGTGCTTTTTTTTTATATGTAAAGGGAAAAGGGCAGGAAGAAATATAAGAAAATCCCAGCCAAATCCCTATAATTTATATTTAAAAGCAACAGAATTAAGTAACAGTCCCCCCACTCTTTTCAACTGCTACTGCTATAATGGAAAGACGTTTTGATCAACAGCCAAGACCACTTCAACCACGGTAACAGTGACAGGAGAGAGACCTTCAGTCAACTTCACTTGTACTGTGTCCCAGCTGATAAGCAAGTATTCAGCTTTCACTTTTTGTCAGTGTACCAAGAAACCTGATTAGATTGTGGTAAGGCAGGAGGGGGGACACACAAATTCCACCATATCTCATCTTTTCTCAGCATACCAGAACTCTGGCAGAAATACAACACAACCCAGTTAATAATCTGTCATTTAGACTGGTGGAGGAGACAATTATGTCCAACACTCACTTCAGATGACTTGCTTTTGGTAATTCCACTTCTGAGTACTAGGAGCTAAAATATACTGAGTGAGGATTAAGACAGGTAAGTTTCTTTGGAATTCTTTGATGTTTGTTTAAATGCATAGTTCAGCTGCTTCAAAAAATACTTTACATTCCTGCCAGGAAGAGAATACTCCTTGGGAATAATTGTTACC